ATAGGACATGTGCTACTGTTTTAATCTACACACGGATGTTTTTTTTTTGTAGGGCATTTTATACGTACTAAGAATACATGTAATTGTATGTAATTTTTATATTATGTGAAAGTAACATAATCTTACAATGCAACAGGGATGTGATGCATCCATCCTCTTGGACAATACTGCAAATTTTACGCGTGAAAAGAGCGCCACGCCAAATGCCAATTCAGTGAGGGGATTTGCTGTAATAGACATCATCAAATCTCAATTAGAGGACCTATGCCCTGGTGTCGTCTCCTGTGCTGATATATTAGCAGTCGCTGCTCATGACTCCATTGTTGCTGTAAGAAAGAAACAACAATGAACATTAGTTTTATGTTTTGTAATCTAACGTTACTAAAAGTTTCAAGTTTTTTAGTTTAAATTGTAAAAACAAAAATTATTAGATAAAAGAGTAGTTTAAATTCTAATATTATAGTCCATCTTTTTTAATAGTTTATGTTTTGCAATCTCAATCAAATTGCACAACCCTTTTTTATGTTACTAATCCTGATTACTAAATTTGCTTTCGAATTACTATTGTTTTGGTACTTCGATAATGATCTTTAGATTTTTTTTTTTTTTATCAGCTTGGCGGACCAAGTTGGACTGTTCTTCTGGGAAGAAGAGATTCAACCACAGCAAGCCTAAGTGCTGTTGATTCCAACATCCCCTCCCCATTCCGAAGTCTTATTCCCCAGCTCTATTTCTTCACCAACAAGGGTTTCACAGCTAAGGAAACGATAACTCTTTTAGGTGAGCTATTTTTAAACCCTTTAATATAAATATTTAAATCTCAAACCTTAAAGTCAATTAGTATATACCAACTTAATTAAACATACAGTATTAACAATTAACTTAATTGAATTTTAGGATCGCACACAATTGGACAAGCAAGGTGCACGATGTTCCGAACACGTATCTACAACGATACCAACATTGATCCCACCTTTGCCACATCACTACGGCAAAATTGTCCGACCACCGGGGGGGACAACAACCTTGCTCCTCTAGACACTACAAGTCTAACATCATTTGACAATGCATACTTTAAGAATTTGTTGAACGAGAAAGGACTTTTGCTTGTCGATCAGCAGCTCGTTAATGAACCCACCATATACTCTCAAATCACTGAATACAGCAACAACGAGGAAGCCTTCAGGACAGACTTTGCGAATGCAATGGTAAAGATGGGGAGTCTGAGTCCACTCACGGGCTCAAATGGCCAAATAAGGAAAAACTGTAGGAGGCTGAACGAACAAATCAGCCCCTCTACTCGCAATGTTATGAAATGTCAACTCCTCTACTCTTTTTCTTAGCATCGCGCCCTCTCTACTTACTAAACCCATGCAAAAGGTGTTAAGTGGAAAAATTTCACATCGAGTACAAAAATAAGAAACTTGTCGGTTAAATACAAAGAGGGTTACTTCACCTATAGTCAATTAGTTTTAAGTTCGATGCAAACCTTGTGTTGAATCACATACAAAATTTTCAATAAAAAGCCCCCTTTTGCTTCTGATGACATCATAAACTGTCAGCATTCCATTTCCCCTTCCGTCACTCCGTTAAGCCTTGCTAATTATGTGGAGCTAAGTTGGAAAAAAAATTTGTTT